ATAGGATGAGAGAAAGGTGACTCCTTCCTGTTTTTTGCCAAAATGTCTGCTATATTGTGCTACCCCAGCCAGGTGACAGGACCTTGCTTCGCAATGTCACCTACACTGCCCAATGCACTGTGGTTGGTATTTCCCTATTATTCTGCTGTCTCATCACTCTGTCCTCTTTGAATATTAATCCTAAAGGAGGGTATGATTAATCAAACCCAATGACCCTGGGTTTTCACAGGGGTTCCCCAGTGGCTAGGTGAACCCTCATCAATAGTAGCAATTTGGGGGACAGCTATTAAGGAGGGTATAGAGATGAACCTATTCCCCTATCTCTTATCCCACCAGTCCCAATGCCAAAAATTCTCTTAATCCTCATAGTTATGAGGAGAGTTGGATTTCCCTTCAGCCCACTACAAAAGAGGGCAGAGAACAATTCCTCCCACCCAGGTCTCACTCATACCTCTACCAACCCAAGGAATTTTGTACTTAAAAAAGAAATAAGAGACAGTTTTCATTAGCTCATTACCCTTCTCAAAACTCTTTTTTTTTTAAATATTTTCCTTTCTTTTTTTTTTTTAATTTAATTAATTAATTTTTTTCCCCCAAAGCCCCAGTAGATAGTTGTATGTCATAGCTGCACATCCTTCCAGTTGCTGTATGTGGGACACAGCCTCAGCATGGCCGGAGAAGCAGTGCATCAGTGCGCGCCCGAGATCCGAACCCGGGCCGCCAGCAGTGGAGCACGCGCACCCAACCACTAAGCCACGGGGCTGGCCCTCAAAACTCGCCTTCTTATCTCTTGGAGGCATTTTCTCAAACAAACAACAGGAAAAGTCATACATAAGATATGGTAAGAGACAACAGGTAATTATTAAATTGTTACTCTGTTACAACCAAGAACTGTAGTTTGAGATTTTTAAGAAGCCAAAAACAATAGTCTAATTTTTATTTAAATAAGGGTTCTGTGATATGATCAACACCACAGAAGACAGTCCTCAGGGTGCTGTGAAGAAAGCTCAATTCAACTTTTCCTCCATATTGACATTTTTATCATGGGGGAGGAGAGAGGGGACCTTTTAAAATTTCCTACAAACATCTTCAAGGCTGACCTAGGATAAGTATAAAAGTGATTGGAAAAACCATTAAAGCTCTTTACTAAAATGGAAGTCTTATTACTTCCTACACTTCCTATTCTGTCATTTCTCCCACTAACCCTTTTTTCCCCAAATCAAGAGAATAGTTGAATAAATGGATTTCTTACTGAATACATTTCTAAGACGAAATATCACTGTGAACATATTTTCACCATGTTCACTTAAAGTACTTCATGAAGTACCCTATTTTTCATCAGTGTGATATCCTATTTTATTATACTTTCTTTACATTATTCAGATATACAATTTTAGAAAGAAAACATAACCTAGGAGGATTATTTTTCTTTCTCCTTTAGGTGGTTTTTGATAATGATACAACATTTATCCTTCAATAATCACGACTTCTCTATGGCAAATACAAAATTTCACAACTTGCATTTGAAAGCCTTCAATATTGAGCTGCAGTCTAGCTGGAAGGGAGTAAATATTGTAGGGATATAAAGGTTTAATTTATCATCCAGGCCAGGCAGTAGGCACACCACTACCACTGCCAGCAAAAAAAAAAATCATAGATAACATTTGAGCAGTTCTAAAAGTGTCAGGGACTTTATCTGACCTTCACACCCACTCTATGAAGTAGGTGCTTTATTTTAATGATGAGGACACTAAGGCTTTGAAGAGGCTAACTAATTTATCTAGATCAATAGCCAACTCGAGGCAGGGCCAGAATTCAAACTCAAGTTTGAATGACTCCAAAGACAGACAGGCTAAATTAAAATTTCATCTCCTATACAGAGAATATAAAATGTCTAGAAGAATGTTGCTAAAAATAATAATCTTTCTTATCTCTAGGTAGTAAGTCTCAGGTAATTTTTTTCACTTTCCTTTTTGTCTTTTTATGTACCATTTGAATAAAATCAACCTCCAGAGAAAAATACCAAAACAAACCACCATACAAAAAACTAATGACTCTGTAACTTGAGTTTTGAAACCCTCAAAATAGTGTTCCTATGTTCAAGTGGGAGAAGAGGATACCAAAGGCAGGAGGAAAAACAAGATAGAGTAGAGGGAAGTGTTCCTGGACAGACTCATACAGAAGCCACGTGGTAAGTCCTCCAGCCTATCATCTTTCTCTTGAAGCTCAATTCACCTAGATGTTTACCTCTTTTAACCCAGAGACCTTCTCTATGAATTTACCTTAGGGAAAAGCTATGTGCAAGAACTTGTCCATGGCAGCATTACCTATAATGAAGACAACGCTGCAACAACCTAAGAGTTCAAAGTTAAGGCCTATCAGTAAACTATAAAGACCAGATACAAACATAGATAATATTTATTATGTGGGAAATAGAAAAATAAAGGAAACACCATGAAAATGTTTCTTTTATTTTTTTAGTTATCTTTTTGTTATTATAATTTTCTCCATTTTTTAAAGTCAAAAATTACTTAAAATCTTTCCTTTAAAATCTTCCTTTAAAATGGCCCCGTGAAGGGCCGGCTCCGTGGCTTGGCGGTTAAGTGCGCGCGCTCTGATGCTGGCGGCCCGGGTTCGGATCCCGGGCGCGCCCCGAGGCACCACTTCTCCGTCCAACGTGGGGCCGAGTCCCACGTACAGCAACTAGAAGGATGTGAACCTATGACATACAACTGTCTACTGGGGCTTTGGGGGGAAAAACTGAATAAATAAAATCTTTAAAATGGCCCCGTGGCTTAGCGGTTAAGTGCACACCTTCCGCTACTGGAGGCCGGGGTTCGGATCCCGAGTCCACACCAACGCACCACTTCTCCGGCCATGCTGAGGCCATGTCCCACGTACAGCAACTAAAAGGATGTGCAACTATGACATACAACGATCTACTGGGGCTTTGGGGAACAAAAAAAAAGGAGGAGCATTGGCAATAGATGTTAGCTCAGAGCCGGTCTTCCTCAGCAAAAAGAGGAGGATTAGCACGAATGTTAGCTCAGGGCTGATCTTCCTCACAAGATAAATAAATAAATAAATAAGTAAAATGCTAGCATCGTAATTACGTTATTAGAAGTAATAAAGATCAAACACATGGTGCCATAAACCAGATCTAAAAGTCTCCCAGTTGGAAAACAAAAGTAGGAAGCTCAAACACCCCAACCAGAGGACGAGGACTTGGTGATGTAATTGACATGCGAAGTAGTCCATTCCTAGGAAATCAATGTGAGTGGTATGATGAACTGAGAAGTTGCAACCACACTAAGGCTGTAAAAAAGCACATATTAAGTGCCTTCCAACTTATTAGGTCATATCATATCTATAAGTACAATGCAGAAGGCTCTTATAGATGAAACCTCACATTTGCAAGTGTAGTGGAGAAATTTATGTGGAGGTAGTTGGACATCCAGTGAAAAAGGGGCCACCAAATAGAATAAGGTACTTACACTAGTGAGGTACCCTTCTTACACTTTGCCAGTGCTACTCTCAACAGGGCACAATAGCTCCAGCTTTATACTCACAAATTTCTGGAAAATTATTTTATAGACTATAATCTAAGATCCTTTCATAATCTTTCATTCAAAGAATACAGACCAAGATAAAATAGGTATGCATAAAGAACAAGGACTGAATATTTTAGAATAATTAGGAGAGGCTTATAGCTATTCATGGTAGAGAAGGAAGACAAATGCAGCCTTAGAAGATACTAAAAACACAAAATAGTCTGTGAATATCGTTGTTTTTTTTTTAACATCATTCTCACTTCTAAGTGAAATATGCTTTACATTACCACGTACCTAATCTTTCAACTGAAGAAAGATGTGGTAATGGTGACTAAATATAACAATGAATAAATGAGACGGTTTTTTCTATTTCCAAAGGCCTTAAAATATAGCTTTTCTCAAAATCCTTTATTTTCTTCATAGCCTGTTAACTACTTTCTTTTCACTGGAAATTGAAGAAAGCCGCTGAAAATCATGAGGAAAGCAGCAGAAAATCATGAGTGTGACAAGAAAATGATGAAATGAATTTCTGATGTGGCTTGAGGAAATGACTGTCAGGTGTTCACAGTCAGTCATACCCTACCTAAGAGCCTGGAAAGAACCAGAGGGGATCAAATTCCTCACAACTCCAGAGGACATAAGGGTTGACACAAGATGGGCATCCCTGCGGCTAACGCTTCACAGATTTCAGATATTTAGGCTCTAAACCCAAGTATAGTGGATATTTCCACAGAAAATTTCCATTACAGTATTTTTAAATATCACGTAGTCCCTAACAAGTCCTATAACCCATAAAAAGAACTATTTGTAATTATGAATGTAACATCAGCCTCTATCCTGAATTTACACGGGCTCTAAAAATAGGAAGTCCTAAAACTGCTGACATTGGGACTTTCTGCCTTATATTTAACCTGAAACGTTTAGACACTTCAAGACATTTTCCTTGTATTTTAGCCTTAGAGACTGCAAATGATTGCTGGCTGCTCTTAAGTCTGTGTAGTGATACTTCCTATGGTAGGAAAGTGATTATATTTTAATAAAATGGAATGCTTTTCTATGAAGTTTTTTGAAGCAGTCTTTGAGATTGGTTTACTAAATGTCATACTTCCTTGCAGTATACGTGGACTTAAACGAATTATCCAGGTTCAGCTAAGGATTCCAAATGCACAAAGCCCAGAAAACCTGGCTTCTGGTCTCATTCTATAACCATGACCTCAGCTACCCAACACATGCTTCTGCCAGACATTATGATTAAGGCAATCAACCTTGATTATCGTAGGTAGCTGAACCCAGGTTTAAAAAAAAAAACTTTAAATACATTCCACAATGCTTTACAGAAGCAAACAAAAACAAACAAACAAAAACAAAAACAAAAAAAATCACAATTATTAAAAAGCCGATTTTTGTTCAAAACACCAAGCAAGGAATGGACATATGAATATTCCTAACCTGCAAAATGATTCCTCCACATTATATCAGCGAAACTCATTGGTGGGCCACTGGGAGGGTAGTGTTTACCTTTCAGAGGCTCATGATCAGTCCTTATCATATCCATTAAGGAATTCTCCAACGAGTGCAAGTTAAAAGTGTCATAGGGCCTACTCCGGTCCTAAAAATAAAAACACAGAACAACAAGACAATACATAAAATTACTTCATAAAATGAATACCATATCGTTTGCTTCTTGGCATGGATTGATGACATGAATCCAGATAGTTCTAATAACACAGTCATTCTTTTCACTAAGAATAATGACAGCGACATTAAGTTTAATATGCTTCCATAATTAATGAAATTGCATCCTTTACCCCGTTAGTCTTTAATGTATATGTTCCACTACTTCAGACTGACTTTCAAATGAACTAAATGAAGTAAATTCAAAAGGAAGAGTCAAGAGAATTTGTTTTGCCCTCAACCCTATACCCTCTGCCTCCACTGTCAAGTGAATATTCTATTCAAACAAATAGAGATTTTTTTTCTAGAGGAAGATCATAATTAAGAACTTTCAGTCTGCAAACAGAATCACTTTCCTGAAAAATCAAAAGGTGACTGTAGTTTCAATGTAATTTTATGGGGTATCTTTAATATTTATTGCTGGTAAGTTCTAGATACACTTTATAAAAATTAAAATGTGTCCAAAGTACTAAAATTACCTTTTGAAAAGCATTCACATGAAAAAAACTTTAACCCAAAGTAGTGTTTTCATGATGTTAGATTCAAAAACATTCTGAAAATAGAGAGCTAATGCAAACTAAGTGAAGAAAAAAATAACTGTTCCACCACATTTCACTCAAGCCCAGTTAACTCAGAGATGAGGAGTAGGAGCGGAGGGCACAGATGTTTTCAAATACCACAGGGAGAAATTCCATTTTTACAAACCCTTAATGCACAAGTCAATGGCCAACTCCCCTATCAGGCCCTGGTGATTCAGAGAGGAATGTTGTAACCTAGTCTCTATTCGCAAGTAACTAGTAGAGAGAGGGAGACATAACCAAGTAAAATAAGAGTATGACAGGTGTTTTGACAGAGGAACGGATACAATACAAAGGAAACTAAGTCACATCTACTTCTTAAAGAACATATATTTGTCTATGTGTGTATTGCAATTTTTTTTTCTTTTTGAAAATCACATTCTGTAAATTCCTAGGTGTCTTGAATCCGTTTGACCAGGTATGAGCCTTGTCTTAGTTATTCTCAATGTCCTCAGTATCCTCACTGGTAAGATGGGATCTTACCCGTGAAGATTAGGTTGAAATTACCTAAGTATTTGTTTTACTCACATTGTGTTTGCCAGAGAGCAAGTAGTTAACATTTCTTAGTTTACTGCTGTCCCCTACTTTTCACCTCCACACCATTTTTTTCTTTTTCACACTCCTCAGTTATCTGTCTCTACTGTTGGATTAGAAACATGGAATATTTTCTTTGGTGCTCCATTTTGATCTCTATATAACTCAAGGTCTTTTCTTCTACCTTTAAGGTCTTCCTGCAGATGATTTGTTTTGCTTTAGGTTCAAATTATCAGTGGAAACTTCAATTACTTAAGGAGTAAAGCTGAATTTCCAGAAATGCAGGCTTATCTCTCCCCATAACAGGTATCATATTTTTTGTCCAAAGAAAAAGCCAGAGGTAAAAAAGTGTGCTGATGAGGAGGTAAAATGACAACCTACTTCTGGCAGTGACAATCCCAGAATGAATGTCTAGGAGCCTTCTATCATACATATCCACTCTTCCAACTAGAGCCCTGCAGATGTGGGACTGTTTCAAAACAGGCTGATAAGGTGAAGGGACTATAAGAAATGGCTGTTTGAAGGCATTCAAGAATCTTTCCAGCCAGCACAGTTTATTTTTTTCATTTAATTCTTAATGTAATCCTTCAAAGTAGAGAACAACATATTCATTTTACACAAGAAGAAGATGAGGTTCAGAGAAGATTCAAGCCTAGATCTGACCTCAAAGCCAATACCTAAGGAGTACAAAAATCTGTCCAAAGAAGTTGATCCAAACCATATGGGATAGTAAATGAAAGGTCTGTAGAAGTGTTGCATCTAATTACCAATGAAACGACCTTCCTGGCAAGGAGATAGTGAGCTCCTGTCAGAAGACAATATCAGATATTAGATGATCACCTGTCAGGAAAATTGGAGAGGGTGTTTGGAGGGGGATTCATGTATCTGAAGTGGTTCCCAAATCCGTCTGATTGTCAAAATCACATGTAGAATGGTTAAAACACAGGTTCCTGGGCTCCAGCTAAAACCAACTTAATCACAATTTAAAAAGAAATAAATGTCCCACGTGATTCTTATGACTGGCTAGATTTGACAGCCACTAGACTGAATGATTCTTCATGTTAAGCCTTTACACCCATGAATCTGATCAGTAAAATGAGGGAAAGGACTAGAAGGAAAGCAGGAGGAAATAAACAAGCCTGGCCACTTTGCCAAGGGTCAGCTTTGCAGTCTTCCTATTGATTATGGGTTAGAGAAGCAGTTGGCAGCCTGGTTTTTTAAAGCACAAATTTTGAAATCAGGCATCTGATTTTCCTGTCACTTGCTGGCATGTCACTCTAAATAAATTTCTAGGCCTTGGTTATCTTCATCTATAAAATGGGAGTGATAACAATTCTCTATGGTGATTTTCAGTACTAAATGAAAGAACATATAACAAGGCATTTGTACAGTGGTGGCTACTGGAATATTAGAGAAAACACAATGAGACTTCTGTGATGTCACCTCAGAGTACTGGAACATAGATTTAAAAACCTAAGAGGTTCATGGATGCTAACTTAACAGGGTTCACTAGTGAACAGATGAAAACAGATGATGTGAAATGGACGACAGAATTTGCACAAGTTTCTCAACTGAACAAACTTCAATGCTGAGACTTATTTTCTCATTAAAATTAATTCTATCTATGCCTCATCAACTTATATTTGCTGCATCCTATTCATCCTTTTTGTTTTACAAGTAGTATATTGCTGAAATAACTGATTAACCAGAAAGCCTGCAAGAAACAGAACAAAAAGGACAGAAAAACTAAAAACTTTGCAGTGAAATTCAATGAAAATTATGCATAGAGAAAACTAGACCACGATTTACCAACAACAAAACTTACAAGTGGCAACTAACCTTTTAAGTTTTTTTTTCATGTTTGTTTCCTGATACAGGGAAAACAAGGAAAATGTCTTCTTTTATTTGTTTTTAACAAGCAAACACACCAGGAAGTATTAAAACATTTATAAACAATGCAACTCATTATAGACTCTTTTTCTCTGAAGATAACCAATGACAGATATTATCAGTTAATGGTACATAGAGGCAGCCCACTCCCACTGTACAATTCATTAGCCCTGCTTTCTTTCTTTCCCCAGCTTGACTGAATATTAACAAATTTATCAAGTATTTAATATGTGCCTGGCACTGTTCTAAGCATGCTAAATGCATTCCCTCACAACTCTATGAGGTAGGTAATTCTTATCCCCATTTTATAAATTAAGCAATTAAATCTTAGAGAGATTAAGTAACTGGCCCAAGTTTATAGAGCTAGTAAAGCGGCAGAGCCAGGGCTCAAACCCAGTCAAATCCGGACTGTGCTCTTAAGGACGCTCACTGCCTCCCTAACTTTCTCCTCCCCGTTCTGCCTTAAATCCTTTTCACCCCCTTCAACCTAATCCTGAAACAATCGGAGAGAGGCCTCTTTGACCCTACCCTGCCACACAAGCAACCTAACCCTCATTTGCCCTTGGTCAATTACCCTTGTTCGACTGACAACCAGTTAAACTCAAGAAGTGAGTTTGATCCACCCTCCAGCACAGCCTGGGCCGCCTCTACCAGCCCTTCCCATTCACTTGCCTTTTTCTTGGGAGAGAAATCCAGGACCCTTTCCTACCCTTTCTGGTCTACCCTCAGACATTTCTTCTCCTAGAGATCAAGGCAGAAGGCTGCAAGAGGCCAAGAGCATCTGACAAAAAAGCAGCTCTGGAACCAAACGATAAAATTAATCATGGTGCCTACTATGTGCTAGGCACTGGGCTAAATGCTTTACAGCCATGATCTCAATCCTCACCACAATCTTGCAGGGTAGGCATTATCTCCATTTCACAGAAGAGAAAACTGAGGCTCATAAAAGTTATGCAAGTGCTTGTCACAAAGCTGGCTAGAAATCAGGATGTGAAACCAGGTCTGTGACTTTCAAATCCACACCATAATGTCCCAATTCTTCTACACTGATCAGTTGCCCTGTATCCCATGAACAATGGGGGCTTGTCTGGGAAGAAAGGGGCACAGACAGGATCAAAAATCAAAAGGTGGATAGATGTTTGAAAGGGCTAGGAAAGGATAAACGGGGGTGTGAAATGATATAGAAAAACAAGAGGAGGAATTCCTGAAGGAAAGTTTTTCTATTTATCATATGGCTTCAACACATGTATGCATAAAACATTTCAAAGTTAAATACATTCAATACATAAGAGGGTATTAACCTGCAAAACTAGCCATTTCTGAATTTCCACCCTACTGTCCTTATTTTCTAGTTAGTTTACATTATTTGAAACCATCTCAGCTCCCTGTCTATACTACAAACACTGTTTAAGGGTAATGAATCTGCTTTATATATTTTTAAATGGATATTTAATTACATAATTAATATATGAACCTACTCTTCTCAAACATACACACAAAAAGAATATTACAGAAAAAGCAAAAGTCTCCAATCCTGCCTTCCTGCACTCTTTTCAGACCACTACATACATTTGGCATGTATTCTTTCAGACATTTAAAAATATATTCAGGGGTTGGCCTGGTGGCATAGTGGTTAAGTTTGTGCACTCCACTTCTGCAGCCTGGGGTTCGCAGGTTTAGATCTCAGGCATGGACCTACACTGCTCATCAAAAAAGCCATGCTGTGGCAGCGACCCAAATACAAAAAAATAGAGGAAGACTGACACAGCTGTTAGCTCAGAAACAATCTTCCTCAAGCAAAAAGAGGAAGATGGGCAACAGATGTTAGCTCAGGGCCAATCTTCTTCATCAAAATAAAAAATAAATAAAAATATATTCATATATCTGTACCTACAGAAATTATATACTGTTTTATGTTATTTTTTCCCCTAAA